TGATTAGTTTCCTGAGTTCTCTTCATACCTTCTTATATTTAGGCCCAACAAGAGCCTAAATATAAGAAGGTATGAAGAGAACTCAGGAAACTAATCATCCATCGATGCAAAAAAAAAAAACAAAACAAAACAAAAAACAAAAAAACGCAAGAGGTTACTCTTGACCATTGCGCAATGGGGTCACCCCTGCTGGTCAGCTAGGAGTGGCACCGGGAGACAAAGACCTTAGGTTTTTAAAAGGCAGAAGGTGGGAATCTCCTGGGGTTGCTATCTTGGCAATTTAGGATTGGAGGAGGTGTTTAACTTTTAAAATAATTGGTTGGTTCTGGGCACCCTTAGGTCCAGTCAGTCCTGCCGTAAATATCTGATCTCCAAGTCAGTTTGGAATTTCTTGCCACATGAGCTATAGCCACAGTTAAAGGTGGGAGAGTAACTAATTTATCCCCTGTCTATTCTGAGGAATGGGAGTTACAGGCTTTGGATCAAAGGTCAGGAGCTATGCAGGAGAAGGATTGGGGTCATTTGGCCCGGTTTTCAAACAAAGCCCATTTCCCAGGCACCAATCGGTGATTTACTCTTCATTTAGTAGGGATCTCTGCTTGTTCTCTTCCTTATCTCTGCCCTCACAGATGGCTGATGGCAGGAACTTTTACATTCCTCGGCTCTCTGGAGAAGCACTAAAAGGCTTTAATTAACATAGGCCTAAAACTGTAGGTTATAAGGCAGTTAAAAGAAACATAGGTTACAAAGTTAGTCTGTCTTTCAACAGCATTCTGCCTGTGCACCAGGAGAGGGCACCAGATCTCACTATAGATGGTCGTGAGCCACCATGTGGTTGCTGGGAATCGAACTCAGGACCTTTAGACAAACAGCTAGTGCTCTTAACCACTGAGCCACCTCTCCAGCCCGAGTTTCAGTTTTATAACTCAGCTGTTCAGCACACACAGTTCTAAAAGTCAGCAATGACAGGAAATGTAAGTGTGTTTCCTGAGGGGTCGACTAAGTCCTAGGAAAAGTAACGGTGCCTAGTGCTGACTGTCCCCTCCCCTCAGAAGAAGCATCTCTATGACAGTAAGCACTAGAATTGTGCTCTCTCGCTGATAATTCAGGAGTTTCCCTGAAGCAATACTGTAAAAAAAAAAAAGTAATTTAGAATTTTTAAGTGTTTGTGAAGCTCAGAACTTAGGTTTCTAAAGCTGTATCACTCGCTTCAGTCGGAGCGTTGGCTTGAATGGAGATTTGTTTGATTACGGTTACAAGAGTGTCCTGCTGCATGGCACGAGGGCAGCATGTGGCCCTTGAAGGCCGAAAGCCCCGACTTCTCACTTCACTTCTCCAGTTCCGCTGCGACCTGAACACTGGCCTGCCTGATGCCGCCAGTTTCCTGTGTAAAATATGGAAAACAACATCACCCTTTTCGTGCAATCAGACCTATGACTGTGGGTGAAATGAGTGTAATTTATAGACTTGCCTAGAACACACACACACACATTCACACACAAGCTCTCACACAGAGACACA